AAATGACAAAAAAAGTGTCAGAAACTCGGAATTTTCTACAATCACGCCAAGTTCCTAATCATATCTGGGAGTCCTTTTGTGATCTTGAAAACTACATAAAAAACATCTATTTTTGCAGCAGAAATGTACAAACAAAAATTACAGACTTTATGAAGTAGATTTCAAATTGAATTTTGTTTATCTTTTTGTGTTCTTTTTAGTCATGCCTACTAACGTCTACCACTCTATGTAAAAATAACGAAATAAAATACACCTCGTGTTTTTGTATTATTATTCGCTTATAGCGAACTCCGGATATAACCAACCAGTTTTAGTTCATTTTTCAAGTTCGTTATATCCGGACTCAACTGTACCCGTTTTCTTCGATCAGAGGACTTTTCAAAATGAGCGAAAGTGTGACTCCGGCCTGTTCGAACTAACTAGGGCAGTTCCATCCACGTTTGAGTTACCGGATGTAATAAAAATCGGTCCTCTACCCCATATTTTGACTTTTCGTTCCTTATCCACTTTGGGGAGTGGTAAGCGCGACGTTTTAAGTTTTCGAGAGCCGCTTTCCGCTTTTTTCGATGTTAAGTGGCCTGTCAACTGCTATTTAGCGCCTACCGAAACACGGTTCTAATAACATTAAAATTCCGCTTTGTAGCTCACCAAAACGGCTCTAATAGATATCGAATTAGTTTCCTAATTGGACGCTCGTTTGGGTTGATTTTGTATTCGATTTAAATGACTGACGCTTTTAATACATGATCGGGGGATCGGTGATCGGGTCGTTTCAGTTCCTCCTTTTTTCTTAAAGAACACTTTAAATTAAGCACTTTCAGCGAAAAAATTCCTGGATGGTCCATCAATTAAGCGAAAAAACACTTACAAACTTTAAGGAAAATCACGGTTTTCAGGCTCAATTTCGAGCGCTGTTGCCAAACTGCGAAAAACATTTTGGATTTTTAGCATTTAGATTCATTCAATTGTGGGGTTATCTTAGCGTCAATTTTGCATGCGGAGTTATGAATTGTTGATACCTAAAACGTGATTTGGCAGCAAATAGCACCGAAACAATCTCATTTTCGTGCATAAATAAGTAGTTTTGGAAGGGCGAATTTAAAAAGTTTGTAAGGGCTTAATTTGAAGTGTTCTTTAAGGTAAAAATAGAAAAAACTAAAAATTCTGACGGACCCAAACGTCACGATCACCTAAGAGATGAACTGGTTCCTGAACAAAGGAAAGTCTCAGTAGCTAAAATAGTCGTTTCTTGATAGATTTTTACATTTGCTGCATTTCTCATTTAACTTCATTTTGTCTTTCTAGTCTATATCAGCGACGATTGAGTGCGACAGAGACCAAGCGTGTCCGGTATTGCGTTGCTGCTTCCATGCGCGACCAAATTGACGTTAAATGTCACTAAAATAAAATGTCAATCAGTTGGACAAATGCGCTTCTTCTAGCCGGCAATTTCGAGGTCCAAAACGCACGGAAAATGTATTTAAAATCGGACAAACGAAGACTACTCGTGAAAGAAACGAATGTTTGCTTCAGTTTGGTGGAGTTTCGCATCGGGAAAGTGTTCTTAGTGGTGAAAATGTGATGTAAAGTACAGTGGTCATTGGGGTTCGAACTTCAACGTATGACAGTGACAAGGGCCTAGTTCTGACACTTAACCTAGAGTGACAGTTGAGACCTTGTTTATTTGTTGGGGTTGATGACGTTTATAACATAAAACAATATTTACCTACACGCTTTTCGATCTGTTTCTATTTCTTTAAAAGCTTGCAAAAGTTGATTAGAACGAAACAAATCACAAACGCCAATGTGACACCAATCATTGATGGCCAGTGTCAACAAAACAAGTGTCAAATTACTAGTTGACGTGTAGTTATAATTTTAGCTACCAGGGAGAGTGCGGAGTTTTAAATTCGCGAATTAACGAATTTGCAGCTTAACTTTGGGGATTCTTTGAAAGAAGAGTGGAAGATCTAAATATTCGCATTTATATTTGTGCCGCTCTCGCTCTTCCTTCTTATTGCTCTCGAAATAAATATAATCTAAAGTTAAATTATTTTATATCCTCGAAACAGATCACAACATCTGGAAGATAAATTCGTGAGGGCCTAACGAACGTAGACTGACGTGATTTTTCAACCGACATATAATCTCGTATTTTTCCAAAGCGCGATTATGGGGCGATCGTGCGTTTTTCGAAAACCTACGGCTTAGCCTTTTCCGCTGATTGTTTGGAAAACATGTTCGGCTTTCTTAATGATATTTTCCTTTGGGTTTATCGCTCATTAGTGCAGCATTTTCCAGCGACATTTCGATCCCCAGGAATCGTTTAAGATGATTCAATTTGCAAGGGTCTTTGGGTTTAAAAAAATACGTACCTGCAGGTGGGGAATATTTTGGTTCACTTAATTGCTGCAGCCTGTCACATAGATACCGAGTTGTAGAGGTATTCTGCAACAAAAACCATTTTTGTACCATTGTTTTTTTTTTGTACGTGCAAAATTTGATGTTGAAACAACACATACCCTCATCTGCTAATACAAGAAATTGTCGGCAAACCAACATAAATTTCCCAGCTATTAATACGCATATAAATCTAGAGTTGCGGAATTTAATTTGAGAAGCCGGGTCGGTTTTGCGACTTTAGATTAATCCGGGATTTGTGTGCTGAGGATGCCGGTTGGAACAAGGCCAAAATGATGTTGCACTTCTTTGCTATTCACTTGGGAACAATGCGAATCGATCCGAACTGTGCAACATCTCATTATTTCCTGTTGGATTCCTACAGTCGTACAGCTATGTTGAACATAACACACACATGCAGAGCATCTGTTGGAAAATATCTGGGTACCAACGATTTTTTTCGAAAGTTGAAAACGAGCAATTACATTATTTATGACCCAATTTGTCTGCTGAGTTATCAAACGGTTTCGTCGAATATTCATTGGACGCGCTAACGGATTCTGTTCACACCGGGAAGGAATCCCGTAGACCCACAATTTCCTCGAGCTCGTTAATAATTTGGTAAATCAACGCCAGTGGTTAATTTTCCCGGAAATTGTTTACGATTGTAATGCCAAGCTTGGGAGTTGCATAAGACCGGGTTTTCCGTTGGAAAATCTTACACTTACCATGTATTCGGTCTTGGAGGAAATCGGGCCACTATGCCGCTGTGTGACGTTTTTCGCATCCTGAAGAATTTCTTCTAGATATTCGATGTATTCTATAGCGCTGCGGAGAATCTCCACTTTGGGCAAGCGTTGCCCTGGGTTGTTGCAGGTTCTTCGCTTCAGCAGTTCGAAGGCCTCATTCACCTGCCGGATTTCCAGCCTTACATGTTTTTTCACGTAGCATTTTGTTTGATTGGCTCACCTTACGTAATCGGCGCCTTTCTCGTAAGGTTGCCGCTTTCCGTCTATCGATAGTCACCGATTTTTTCTTGCAAGCCTTGCAAGCCCACGCTAAGCATTTGCGGGGACCTTTGAGCAGACAACCTGCAAGTTGCGCCTAGTTTTGTTCGTTTTTTCGGAAACATCAACATTACCTGCATGCTGTGGCTCCAAAACGTGGTTCAACTCTTTCTCGTCGTCGCTGTCTATGGAACTTTCCGCACTTACGTAGCCAGTGTCTCCTAGTGTGCTGGAAACCGTAATTGATAGAAAACTATGCAGGATATCGAAATAATCGGGTCTTGAAAACTCATCAGTTTTACGTAGGATATTTAAAAAATTGAAGTTAGAAAAGGTAACAATGCGGACAATTTTTCCAAAAAAGAAATAAAGCAGAGGCAAATTTGATTTCTTAAATTTGTTTGTGCAGATATTCCTGAAATCCGCAATAAAATCTTGCTCGGCCTATAGTCACATCAAGTTCCATAGCTTTTCGAAAAGGCCATAAAATCTAGAACAGTACATTGACAAATTTTTCGCATTTTACGCAGTTTTCTGTGTGAATTAGCTGATTTAGCGAACACTCACCCCTGCATTCTGTGTTCTTCGTCGCTATTCACTTCCCTTTTAGCAAAATTTTCACTTTCACTACACTGGGACCGAACAACATCCCCTGTGAGTCGTACATTGTTCGATATGTTGAGGTCCATTGAACACTTCTGAGTGTTTTCCTTTCTGAGGTGATTGCCAGCTTTGTGAGCATACTGCTGATAAAATCCTTGGAAATAACTCATCTCGCAACACTAAACGCACTTGCACTGCAACATCGAAATGGTGACAAATTTCCAGTTTGTTTCAACAGCTCGCAGGCACTAAAGATATTTAGTGTCCCTAATTTTTAATTAGAAGAAGAGGCCCGTGATATAATCCCGTTTTTATCCTTGTCTATTTCGGATCTGGGCCGTCTTTACTCGGATAATGGGCGGAGTATATTTAGCGCCTGAGTGCTACCTTGTAGCTCTTTAGTTGACTTAAGTGTTTAACGTTGTTGTTTGCCAGTCGATTTGACTTATTTCTTTTGCTGTTAGGTTTGATTGAGAAAATTGGAAAGTGTTTCTTTAGCAACATCAATCGCAGCGAATTTTCGACGTTAAACATGAGTTAGTCACTCTTACACTGCTTGACTTTTTTGAAATTTCCGGAAGTTTGCATGATTTTTTCAGTTACTAAGGCTGACCGTTGGTAAATACAAGTTTTTCAAAAGTTTGCCAGGGAAAACCAAAATGAATGCGGCCCAGACCAGATCACTCGCAAGAGAAAATCTGCGGTTTTAAGTGAGGAAAATCGCACTTTAATAGGAAATTTCTGGGAGTTTTCAGGATTTTTTTAGACACCAATTCGAAGCGATCGGTCGTTGGACAACACGAATTTTTCAAAAATTCGCCAAGGAAAAACCAAAAGGTTCTGAATGCCGTCCAGAAGATCACTCGAAAGAGAAAATCTTTGGTTTTAAGTGAGGAAAATCTCACTTTAATAGGAAATTTCTGGGAGTTTTCAAGATTTTTTTAGACACTAAATCGAAGCGCTCGGTTGTTGGTCAACACGGATTTTTCAAAAATTCGCCGAGGAAAAACCAAAAATTTCTGAATGCCGCCAAGATCACTCGAAAGAGAAAATCTACGGTTTTAAGTGAGGAAAATTTCACTTTAATAGCAAATTTCTGGGAGTTTGCAAGATTTTTTTAGACACTAAATCTAAGCGACGGGTTGTTGGACAACACCGATTTTTCAAAAATTCGCCTAGGAAAAACCAAAAATTTGTGAATGCCGCCCAGAACATGACTCGAAAGAGAAAATCCGCGGGTTTAAGTGAGGAAAATGTCACTTTAATAGGAAATTTCTGGGAGTTTTCAGGATTTTTTTAGACACTAAATCGAAGCGCTCGGTTGTTGGACAACACGGATTTTTCAAAAATTTGCCAAGGAAAAACCAAAAATTTCTGAATGCCGCCCAGAACATCACTCGAAAGAGAAAATATGCGGTTTTAAGTGAGGAAAATCTCACTTCAATATAAAATTTCTGGGAGTTTTCACGATTTTTTTAGACACTTAATCGAAGCGATCGGTTGTTTGGCCAACACGGATTTTTCAAAAATTTGCCAAGGAAAAACCAAAAATTTCTGAATGCGGCCCAGAACATCACTCGAAAGAGAAAATCTGCGGCTTTGAGTGAGGAAAATGTTACTTGAATATGAAATTTCCGGGAGTTTTTAGGATTTTTTTAAACACTAAATCGAGGCGAACGGTTGTTGGCCAACACGGATTTTTCAAAAATTTGCCAAGGAAAAACCAAAAATTTCTGAATGAGGCCCAGAACATCACTCGAAAGAGAAAATTTGCGGCTTTAAGTGAGGAAAATACCACTTGAATAGGAAATTTCTGGGAGTTTTCAGGATTTTTTAAAACACTGAATCGAGGCAAACGGTTGTTGGACGACACGGATTTTTCAAAAATTCGCGAAGAAAAAACCAAAAATTCGTGAATGCGACCCAGAACATCTCTCGAAAGAGAAAATCTGCGGTTTTAAGTGAGGAAAATCTCACTTTAATAGAAAATTTCGAAGAGTTTTCAGGATTTTTTAGACACTAAATCGAAGCGACCGGTTGTTGGACAACTCAGATTCTTCAAAAATTCGCCAAGGAAAACCCAAAAATTTCTGAATGCGGCCCAGAACATCACTCAAAAGAGAAAATCTGCGGTTTTAAGTGAGGAAAATGTCACTTTAATAGGAAATTTCTGGGAGTTTTCAGGATTTTTTTTAGACACTAAATCGAAGCAATCGGTCGTTGGACAACACAAATTTTTCAAAAATTCGCCAAGAAAAAACCAAATATTTCTGAATGCGGCCCAGAACATCACTCGAAAGAGAAAATCTGCGGCTGCAAATGAGGAAAACCTCACTTGAATAGGAAGTTTCCGTAAATTTCCAGGATTTTTTAAGTTACGAAAATCTGGATTAATCTCATGCGACCATCTTTTTTTACACTTTTCACTCTCTGGTGTCTCCATCCATGGAATACGACCTTTAACTTCCCAAGACCTGCCTTAACCACACCTGTAGAGTACTAAAACGCATCGTCCAGCTCGGCCGCCGGTGTGCACGTACCCTTAGCTTTCGCTGTCATAACCTGAAATTGGCGAGTTTTTCGACACCTGTCAAATAATCCGATTATTCGGATTTTTTTCCGAAAATTTGCTTATGAGAACTGGGCTTAAGTAAGTAGTGGAAAAATGTATGCCTTTTGTGCTTCAAAGTAGGTTTGCAAGCCGCATTCGAAAATGTCGCTTCATTATTTATCGTCATTCAAGTTGCGTCCATCTCTGAAATTTGTGACAAATATGACAGTCGTCCTGGAAAAGCCCCCAAGTCATAAATCGCTCAGATTTAAGTGGGAGGAGTTAAAAAGCGCGTTTAAATCGTGAAGCGCTCGTGGCAGCATGCTCAACGCTTAAAGTGTTTTGGATAACGCATTTTTCTAACCTTTTTGAGTAATTTTTGCTCCATTCTGTTCGAGGAACTTCGAATCATTTTTTATTCAAAAATATCTATTTGCTTGACCATAGAAGTGTCCATAATAATAATAATAATAATAGGTAAACAACGGCTGCGCTAATCAAGCAAATAAATGACAACTTGTTGAAAATCGAGTAAAACCATGGCTTTTGCCTGTATTTCAAAAGTACGAAAATAAATCCCAGATAAATTAATGTTTTTAAGTGGTCTATTTACTATAAGGTATTGCGATGCCGGCCAAAACAAAATTTATCTCGCTGAAATATAAACGAAACTGATTCATGTGACACGTACTAATCTCCGTCAACTTTAATGTTCCGAGCTCGGTACCGCATTGGCTCCTATTTTTAAAATGGGCGGTGCGCACTTAACCGAAAATACATTAGAAAAGAGATTTAATTGTCTTTGACTAGTTGGCACGTGCAGGAGGGCTTTGGGGCCTGCCAACAAACCAAAAGGGCCAACGCGTCGCCACTCAACAAGTCCTCAGAGTCATTGAAAGGGACGAAATAAGTGGGTGATGGCCATAAGCTAGAGACCTTCTGCTGACCTGGTTTTGCCACAAAAAGTACGCAAGTCCTACGGAATCGAGTATGCCCAAAAAACAGGAAATTTATTTGCTTTGCAACAAGTAGGGCATCGGTTGCGGCAAAAAGTATCGCTAAAGTAGACACAAACGTTTGTACAAAAGTTGTATTTTTTGATTCCCTCGGATCCTTAACTCATTCATTCGACCCAGCTAGAAAATCTGAGTAATTCAATGCAAAGCCTTGTGCAAGGGGGGATGTCCCGTGCAACCAGCGTTGCCAGATGAAGAACTTCGAAAGCGGTAGAATGGATCGGCAATAAACGGTTATTTATTGTCCTTAAATTTCTGTTTTTCCCATTTTTTAAGCGGTTTTTGAAGGTAGTTTTGAAAAAAAAATGGTGTGCGTCACGGGACGCTCGACAGAAGTGATAACTTCATACTTCGTACAATGAAGAAGTGATAACTTCATAAATTAATAGAAGCCATAAAATATTGAACTTGTTTAACGCATGATGGCAATAATAAATTTATTTTATAATTTTTATATTCTTGTTAGTCTAATAATTTATAAATGGAT